CTGAACTGCAGATAACAGTCAGCTGAAGTGGTCTGCAGTATTGCACCCTAACCACTGCACCACCTCGGCTCTCTTTTATATTTCATAAAAGTGTGGTTATCATTGTTGGTGTAATAATGCGGGCAGGGGAAGAAAGAAATACCTTACTTTCCAGTATTTTAGACAAGAGAGTCTATGTGGTTCATTTAAAGAATATTTTTCTTAATCATACTTCTATATTTACTATCATGTGTGCTAGAAATAGCAGATATAAATGGCATAAACTGATGTAATCATTTTTGATCCCATGCAGCTTTCTTCACCAAGCAAATCCACACTCTCTGAATTGTTCATTATTGATGTGATTGCATATTATGTGCGTCTGGGCTTACAGCCAGTTTTCTTCCAAGTCTATGCAGTGAAGGTCAGTAGTCTTGAAATACTTATTATCAGTTTAAACAAAAATGATTACATTTTACCCAATGATGAAGGAATCTCTTGTCTTTCAGATTTTTTTTAATAATGCTGCCTTGGAGCCAGTTGAGGACATTTTCCTCACTGAGTTAAGAATAAACTTTGAAGAGTTCAACACTTCCAAAGGTCTGTATTTCATTTCAAGATTTACTACTTATTGCATTTTCAGTTTTATCCCCAAAACCTGTAATCGGTCTTTTAACATACTGTTCCTTTCATCTCAACCTAATGATCATGCTATAATCTTTTATATTTAAAAATAACCTCAGACAAGCTGAGCCTAATAATGTTTTGTCCTCTGATTACATCTGAAGCACAACTCCTTGGCCTTTTTCCTCTCCTTGACAATATTTAGATGAAAGTTCAAATGCCATTCCCCGGCCTCTCACATGTATTGCCCATTAAGTTCAGAACAAACAAAAAAACCAAACAAAAATGTCAAGTAGAAGAACACTGTGTGTCTCAATATTTAGACTGTCTGTAAACTAACTGGAAAATTATCACTGTCATAATTGCTTGAAAGCTATGTCTTTTTCTACTAGACAATTTACCAACAAAGAAGAAACCAACAATAGAATTTCCTGGTGCAGAACTTACATTATTATATAAAAAGGTAAGACACGTTATAAATTGTAGGTTAAAGTGGGAAATTATATAGACTTTTAGAAATTGGAATTAAGTTCCAGCAAAATATTTCACCTACATCAATAACTTGAGTTCAGAATAGGAACTATTGAAAGCTGTGCTTCAAATTCATGTAAAAAAACAAGGTGACCTAATTATTTCACATTAGACTTAGAAGTTAACTGAATATAAATATTATGTTCTTCAAAGAGATGACAACCATTAAGAAGAAAGCAAAGTAATTTCATTTATAGATTAGGTTTAAAGGTTTAAAGATTTAAAGGTTTATTGCATTTATATGCCGCCCTATTCCCTGAGGGACTCAGGGTGGCTAACAAACCCGGGGGGTGGGATAGTACACACAAGGTAACACAACAAACAAATACAGAGAAAAGTTTAAAAACAATCAACAGTCACACAATTCGAGTGGGGAAGGGAACTCGTCAATACCAGGCCTGCCGGAACAACCAGGTTTTAACGGCTTT